TGGTAGGCCTTGCCTGGATGACCACATGTCATTTTCTTGAAACAAGTTTTGTGAAATGCTGTAGCGTTTTGTGAAATGCTGCGGTGTTTTGTGAAATGCTGCGGCGTTTTGTGAAATTCTGTTGTGTTTTCTGAAATTCTGTGGTGTTTTGTGAAATGCTTTAGCGTTTTCTGAAANAATGGTAGGCCTTGCCTGGATGACCACATGTCATTTTCTTGAAACAAGTTTTGTGAAATGCTGTAGCGTTTTGTGAAATGCTGCGGTGTTTTGTGAAATGCTGTGGTGTTTTGTGAAATGCTGTAGCGTTTTGTCAAATGCTGCGGCGTTTTGTGAAATTCTGTTGTGTTTTCTGAAATTCTGTGGTGTTTTGTGAAATGCTGTAGCGTTTTCTGAAACGCTGTGGCGTTTTCTAAAATGCTATGGTGTTTTGTGAAATGCTGCGGCATTTTTGTGAAATGCTGATGTGTTTTGTGAAATTCTGTGGTGTTTTCTGAAATGCTATAGCATTTTGTGAAATTCTGTCGTGTTTTCTGAAATGCTGTAGCGTTTTCTGAAACTGTGGCGTTTTCTAAAATGCTTTGGTGTTTTGTGAAATGCTGCGGCATTTTTGTGAAATGCTGATGTTTTTTGTGAAATGCTGTGTTTTGTGAAAATCTGTAGTGTTTTGTGAAATGCTATGGTGTCTTGCACTTCAGGTTTGGCTGAGGGGTCTCAACGTTCACAGGACGTTGTACGAACCAGTTAAATGCGCCCTTGCATAAGTTATTGTGGTTGTGTCACCCAAAAACCTCTAGATGGCATATTTAATGGGGTTATTGGGGGAAAACAACAGACGCATTGCATGTCAAGCAGAAAGATGGCGCAATTGCTGCAGAGATGCTGACTTGTACGGTTCAGAAAATGATCTATTTTCCCAAAACAAACTGAGCCAGCCAGGCCCTGTTCTGTCAGCAACCAGTGATCAATGTGCAAACCACTGCTCCTTGTTCTGCGGACTGACACACCAACAAGCAAGTTATTCACCATGCAGCATGCTGTCAAATTTGAGATGAGAAAAGCTTGAAAGTTTATTTTGTACAGTAGGAGGTTTTCCAAATGGATCAAAAACGTGAAAAGTAAGCATGAAGACGAATATAATGCAGGTCAGACGCCGGTCTTACATACACCGTTTATGTTTGCGTAATGTTGGCATACCCTGTCAGACGAGCCAGTGGAGCTTTCAGCAGTCAGGAAAAGGTAGAGAAAAAAAACACATGTATTCCTGACCGCCCATTGGTCCAAATTTTTCCTGTGCTGCCACAATACTGCACACACGTGACCTCCCTGTTTTCACCCAGTTAAGCGCATGTACTTAAAAGACAGGCCACTACCATTCACCAACACAAGCACGATTAACACTTTATTAATGTCGGCCAGGTAAGATCGCTCGCTGCAGGGACTCGGACCACTGGGAGCGGACCATGGCGGCTGCCACGAGCAGCAACACATCCACAGCCACGCTGCAGATCAAGCACTCCAGTATCGAGCATACGCGGAAACGCATAGACCCGAGGAGGAGGCAAGCGGCGTTGTCCTTTCTCAGCAACATTTCCCTGGATGGACGACCCGTGCAAGACGATGCAGACAATCAGAACGAGGAGGAGGACTCTCTTGACGCTAGGACTAGTCAGAGCCTGGTTTCTCCGGAGCGCACGGCGTACGGGGCTGCGGCTGCTGCGGCGGCTGCCTCCACGGCCGCCGAGGCGCTCGCTTTTGCAAACCAGGCTCTATTAGCTAACAGCCGGGGTAGTTTCGGGACGGGTCCCGCAGCTGCCCCGTTGGGTGCAGACTCGGAGGGCGACGCTTTCCTGCCCTCCACTTTCAGCTCGCCGTTCTCCGCGGTGCCAGTGTCGACTAGAGGGAGGCTGCAGACGTACACTCAGGGAATCCTACCTGCCCCATACTCCAGGCAAAACCCCCAGAACTACAACCTGGAGGGCGGACAGATAGCCAACTCTGCGATAGAGCTGCAGAGATCAAGGTAACCATGTCTGGTGTTTGAGAACATTTAGTACAGGGATGTCAAAGGTGGGAGCTTGTCTGCAGGATCTGCACAGTCAGGCTGTGCATTGATGTCATAGCAAGCAAACTCAAACCTAACCATGTCACTAAAGGAATCATGATAAATGAATAGGAGCAATCAGTCCCCATGCACGATTGTTGAACTCACTTAGTCCTGCAGACACATTTAATTTGTTTTCACAATCCTGTTGCATAGGTCGATTATTAGCTCCAATAAGATACCACTGATAAACCCAATGGAGTTTATTTGTGTTTACATCTACAGACTACAGCACATTCTTGTTTCATATGTTACATTTTAGTAGATCTTCAGATTAAACACATAATGCACAATTTATTTTGAACTTCCAGTGTAAGTGTTTGTGTTTTGTTTCCACCCAACCACATTACCAGGGCCCTGAATGAATGAACTGGGGCAATTTGTTTTTCTTTTTAGGTTTTGGAAAGATAGTGTTGGTTCTCAGCAACACAGTCTCCCTGGATACAGTAATACAACGACCAGCTGTTTGTTTATTTACTGCATGCAGGTGTTCATTGGTCTGGATAAAGACAGATATGTGCAGTGTGATCAAAGGTCCAACAGCTGTGGAGCAGTAACCTGGTTTCCCAAGAGAAGGAACTCAGCAGTTTCTTTTTTTCCTATTCCAAACCTGCTCCAATGCTCTAAAAGTCCTTAAATTATTATAAGTGAATGTAATTTCAAAAACATATAGCACACCTGCAACCTTCATCTCCTCAGCGTGATGTTGACATCCTGTAATTCTACACCCCTTCAACTCCATAAACAACAAGGGCTTGCTGCTCCATGTGGATTTCTTTTATTTGCCCTGTCCATCTAATTTGTTGTAACGCTGTAGGCACATGGAGAGTTTTTGAGGGTCTCACCTCACAGCAGGACAGCTGTCAGTAACAGTCGTCTCATGGTTCTCTCACTGTAAGAATATTCAGAGCCCCTCTCTTACCCAAATCCTCTCCTTCCTCTGGTGTCTCTGGCAGACTTTCTCAGGAAGATCTTTTTCGTGGTGAAACACTCAACAAGCATTTAGTTCCCCTTCCTGACCTCATGGAAATTGCCCTGCCAAACTAACAGCTTCCGAATGTATTAATTTTTACTTTTTCATACTGAAAGAAGTGCACTAATTAGGTTATATTACACTAACGACACCATTAATTATTTACATTTGCAGTTTTGTTCTGAGACCGCAAAAATACCTCCCAATGCACAATCCGTTATATCCATATATCCATTATTAATATGTAGCTTCACCACAATTTAGTTGCTGTTTTTGTTTTGTTTAGGAACATCTTCCTCAGCAGATGGTGTTTGCACAGTTGTCATGGAGTTAAAGATGTTTGAATTTCCATTTTCCAGAGCTCTTAAAGGACCTCCTGTTAATGTTGGCGTAAAAGTCAAGATCCTCAAGTGCTCAGAAAAATAGAAATTTGAAGATCTACAATTCTATGACAGCTGTGCACACTTCATCTGCTGAGAAACATCATGTGATAAGCTAAAATGCTCCAGAACAAATCCTAAAGTGACCTTTTGGTGAGATTGCTCTGTCAAGTTCTGTTTTCTAAGGTAAATAATTAACTTTTGGTTGAAGTAGGTATGAATGGTTTCAAATAGCATTATATTAATATATTCTAAGCAGAATCACATAAGAACTATCATCCTGTTTTTAATGAAACGTGGTGGACATTGAAGTGCCTTTTCAATTTTGGAGAGGCTCCACATTACAGGACAGACACACAGAATAATATTTACCTTCCTTTTAAGGCTTCTTGGCCTCAGCAGACGTCGGCATTGTCCGAGTGCCTTTTTAGTTATGTTTTATGTTAAATTGAAAAAGTGTTTTGTGCAACAAAAGAAGCCAAACTTAAAAATGTTAAACGCAAGCAGCTGTGCTTCAATGGTGTACAGTCAAAATCTGGCGAAATTATGGATATACTCATAAACTTTTACATTCTATGCCTATAAGCTTTCAGTACTACAATACTGCATCCTTTTCAATATTTTCTGCTACTGACACATTTCAGTTGGTACCAAACTGAGCATTTAGGTTTAACACCTAGCCCTAAGCAAAGTGTTGCATATTGTCTCTACACAGCCATTGTATTGCTCAGTCCGTTAATACATGAATTGGAGGATATACAAACAAAATGTATTCTAATGTTGCAATGTAAGCAACCTGTTGATGGAACGTGGCCATATTCCACCAGACGAGCGCCCTGCACAGTGCCTGGTTTGTTTTTTTGAGGGCAGCTGGTGGAAATGTGTCCAGAGGTCCCTGGCTGGGAGAGGCAGGATGCCCAGGCTTTCTGAGAAGCAGCCTGGCTCTCCGCTCTGTATTTTCTGTCCTCTACTTCCTCTCCCAGGGGCTTCAGAAACACACTCTCCCCTCAGACGTTTGGCCCTCTGTCCTGCTCCCATTCAGGAAGTCGAAGAGCCTTTGATGTGCTGCCAAAATAGACTTTCTGAGGCCAAAAGTGCCTTTGCCCATATCCTCATCAAAATGTAATGCATGCAAATGATGGATGATTTCATATTCAGCTTTTCTTCCACTCCTCAGCCTTCATCCATCATGAATTAGCACGCTTAGAGCTGCAGATTTTAAATATAGCATTCTATTACCATCTGGTCTTGTCTGCCTTAGGTGTTAAGCAATTCTCATTTAATTCTTTCCCCCTTAAGACACATCCAGGTCTTCTCATGCCTCTTTTAGTTAACCGTTAGGTAGTGCCGAGATTATTTTTTCATGAGACTCCAGAGACTGACTGGAAAACAAGCAGTGTAACCCATTATAATGGTCCTGTGGAGTTTTGTGCCACTGAGTCACATACTTTTGGTTAGGAGGTTGATTGTTGTTCGCTGAGGTCATGGTTGGCAGGATTATAAAAGAATGCTTAATTTTCTAGTGTGTGCTGTCAACAAACACTCAGACAACCCCTTATGTCTTGACTGAAAAACCCACTTGAAGTGTAACACATGCTTGAGTAACAAGCATATGTTTTCGTCTTGCAGTTTGAAGTAAAACCCCTGAGGAAAGATGTCCATAATATTGCTTGTTTCTCACCCTGTGTTCCCATTTCTTTAACTTCCTTTTAGCCCATGTATTTTTTCTACTCCTGGTGTGTTTGCAGGTCAGACAGGCTGAACGGCTGTGCTTTTCTTTATCAGAATAATCACATTTCCGTTTGCCCGGGCAGTATTTGTGTGAAGAAGGCCAGAACATTACGGTACATTTAATTCCACTCAGCGACTCTCCGGCAAATGGAAGACTATATCCTGTGGCACGCTGCCAACAGGGTGTACGTGTAAAACTGTTTAATCTCCACATCTAAATAGTCCACTTGAGTTGTATAGCTCATTGCATGGCACTGCTGGGTAGGATTATCAATGGCTTTTTGAAGCACTCTCATTGCAGGAGGATTTCATTGTGTTAGAGTGCATTGATTGCATTTATGAAACATGCTTAAGTTTAATTGCTTGAGGCTTCAATAGCAGGGATTGTTTGAGATGCTATGGTGTTTGCTGCTCCTTTGCTACTGATTTATACTGAGGTTTCTTTGAAGCTTCTGACCAGGCCTCGTTAATGTCAAACTGGGTAGAAACAGGCTGTTCTAACCATAGTTTGTAGGAGTTGGATCTGAGGTGAATGAGTGGCCTGGCCAGTGTTATTGTTTCCAAGATTTGTAGAGGCCTGGAAAACATACAGTATTTTGCATGAAAAACACGTCCCAATGCTGCTGTTGAGCCACAGTGGATGCCTGGATCAAAGTCCCCATGGTTCAGCTCTGTCCTCCTGAACTGGAAACATGCCCCTTGGCTAACTGATGAATGATTTTTTTGAAGATCAGTAACAATTCACAAAACATTGGCTTGGACAGAAATGACAAAACGTCACACAGAATGGAAACAGATGGCTTCAATAAGAGGTCATTTATTCTTGGGCACACAGTGCAACACTCTTTGCCGAGTTAAATGACAGGTTTGGATTTTTCTGTTTCTGTCAATCTTAATGCAATACTCATGCCTGTATGAAGGTTCAGAGACATTAGCCGCTTTAGTAATTTCTTTAGGATTGACAAGCTGTTAAGTTATCACCGTAAGAGATGGGAGAAATCCAGTGTACATTCCTTCTTTGCTAAGTTGTGTGTGGCTTCAGCAGTCAAAGTTAGAGAAATCAAGCTATTTCAAAGCACTATGAAAGGCCATAACTAACTTAATTTGTCTAAATCAGACCTCTAATGTCTTATACTGCCAACAGCGTTATTTAAGATGCAGAACAAGAGCTGTAGTTTCTGTCCTATTCTCTATTCATACTTAGGAGTGATCGCTTTAAGGCTTGTATGGAAGGTATGAACAAAAGGAATGATTACAGATTACAAAACTATTTTTGAGTAAGTGTATGAGTAAGATATTAAAAGTATCATGTTTCACCCCAAGGTTTTGGTTTTAAACATATCAATATCAGTGTTTCCCCTAGAATGGAGTCATAGCAGCGGTGCTAAGGCATGTGGGCCCAGCATAATGTGAGCGTGTGTTTAGTGTGTGCGCGTGCGAAGTGCGCCCCACCAATTTTGTTTCTATGTGTCAGCACAAGAAAGGCTAGAAACAAAATTGGTGGGGCGCACTTCGCACGCGCACACACTAAACACACGCTCACATTATGCTGGGCCCACATGCCTTNGCATTATTTTGAAACGTGTATTACAATTAAATCACGGTAAAATATGTTCATTTTGTTGTAGTTGCCAGCGATTCGCTCGCTAGTTTAGCATACTCAGCCCGACTCAGCCTGGTTGTTGGCCCGGAAAGAACCTCGATTTTATGGGTCCAGAAAAACTGTGAAATAGTACCCGCAAGCCGGATGCGGGTACTATTTCACAGTTTTTCTGGACCCATAAAATCGAGGTTCTTTCCGGGCCAACAACCAGGCTGAGTCGGGCTGAGTATGCTAAACTNGTGTGCCTTGGCAGTCTCAAAATACCAAACAGATCATGCATTTTAGCCATGCCTAATTTCGCTCTATTTGCTCTATTCCAGCCCTGTCTTCACAAGGGCAGATTCTGTGGCAAATGAGCTGCAGGGGGGCGAGGCACGAGCATCATGTTACCATGCTGTTACCATGCCACACAACCTCTCATTCCCCTGATAGGTGGAGAGTTGCCCATATAGGCGGAGCTCCCCGTTTCTGACATCAGAACAATTTCAAATCTGTATCAGTCTGTTTCAGCTCCGTTGCAGCCCCGTTTTTAGAGATTTGGGTATGGAGGAAAAGAGAGAGGGCTGTGTTTTCTGACACTTGGTGAGTTCCCTGACACACCGGAGACACATATTCATGTGTAAAAGACGTAGAAAAGTGCATTTTGCATGATAGGTCCCGTTCAAAGTAAAATTCAGCAGCATACTCATTGACCTTTTCTTGGCAGGTGTCCCATTCACATACATACAATCATACACACATGCTCGCTCGCATGCACCCAAACGGCAGTGTCCAAATCTACTGCTATCAATGTGCAACAGCCCTTCCCTGTGCTCTCCTAAAGTTGTCCTTGAACTCACATTGAGGCCTCTTCACACTTAAACCTATAAAGTTGATCTGTATGTTTTTTGAAGATCCATCAATAAGTTAGTGTATGAAGCGTTTAAGGTCCTGCTCTGCGTCACTGGTTTTCTATTACAGTGGGTTCAGCTGTCTCTGAAATAGACTCTTGGGGTGGAACAAAAGAGATTAGGTAGCCTTGTTAAACACGAACAGAGGATCAGATTTTCAGGTCCACCTGCAGTGCTTTCCCCTCCTGACCATGGACCAGTGGAAATATAACAGTAGGAAGCAAACGAAAAAAAGATTGTGGACGATCCCATAAAGACTGGCCTGTTTTAAGCCTGTACTTTATGTCAAGAAAATGAAGATATTATGTACAACCTGACTGAACATTAATTATATCAAACACAGTGTCATCCCACCATTTGAGCATTTACTATTCCTCTGTGTTCACTACTTTCTTGTTTACAAACTACTGTACATGCTGGAAAAGCCCTGAGTCACGGTGTCATGACAGGAGGGGGCAAAATGCAGTTTCAGCCAAATGTTGTTATTTTAAAGGGAAGAGCAATAGACGGCAGCTTGCCCCAAACGATGGTACATATATTTTCACAATGAGGGTCACTTGTGTGTGAACAGGGCTCAGGAAGGGCTGTCAATAGACCCCTTTATGAGGCATTGCGGGGGGGGACTTAGGTCATCAATGGTAAGGATTAAGCCACGTATGCCGTGTGTCCAAACTCAGCTCTGGCCTGTTTGTTTTGATGGCAGCTAGAGACTGGCGTGACTGCGGCCTTGTTTACGTTGGATGAGAGTGAAGCAGGAGAGTTCCCACTGGATGAGAAACTGACCTCTCGGATTGCATCAGAGCCAGAGGTGCATCCATTCAAAACTTCCTGAGTCACCACCTCATTCACTGTTTTCAAATAAAGAGTCATGACAGTTTAAAAATCGGAGTTATGCATATGACACCTGTTTGTCTTAGCATGGCTAAAAGAAACAGGGCTTATTGTGCAAAGCCTGTCTCAAAAAGTCACTAAGAACTGCTTCTTCATATACAGTATATTTCTTGATGTATGTTTTTTTTTAATAGTGACATTAAACAAATGATGAAAATGTTACTTACATGCCTACAGCAATGAGTAAATGTTAATTATTAGCTTTGTTATAATTGCAGGGCATCAAACAGTGTTTTGAAAATGTGCACGCACACTTAGTTTAGACGTAAAAAAACAGAAGGCATGAGCTCATATTTAAAGAATGCCATTAGTGCAGCCCATGTCAAAATGTGATAAATGTAACATGTATGCAATTTGACTTCGACATGCTCTGTAAAATGGGCTCAAGCTCACAGAGCAGCAGTTGGAGAAAACTTCAGGGAGGCACTCGAGAGTCTCAGTCTGGCAGATTTATTGTAACGATGGTTCAGCCGCAAGGGAAGCTGCAAAACGCTTAAAAACTAGCCTGAACAGGCGAGTCTGGGGGAAATGTTCCCACAGTAACCAAGGATATTCTTATGTAACAAACCTTTGTGAAAATAAGCCCAATTATCTTAGGTAAGTCTGTATTCACTGTAAATCTTATCTTCCCACACGTTCATTGCACAATGGATTTTGGAAAGATATTAGAAGATCCTCCAACATTTCTTTCTCAATCAGGCCCTTTCTATGGGTGTTGGTTTCACAACAATAACTTCTCTGCCAAAAAAGTGTTAATTCACGAGAGATTTCTATAGCTAGGATTTTGGCTGAGGATCTTTTCAAAGAAGTGAAGCGGGCAGGCCTTGACTGTAAAGTATTACATCACATATTGGTTGCACCAATCAGAGTTTAGAAACATTATATTCAAAATCGGATGACAGTTGCAAGAGTTATGTCACAACGACCTCGAAGAAACAAAACCACACCCACAGGTGAACTCCAGGACCTCTGACATGTTGGGTGTGGTTACAGGTACAACAAACCACATTTTTAATAACGCAGTAAAACATGCTTTTTACCTGTTAAGTGCTTCACTTGACATTAAAGAGAAACAAGATTCTGTATGCTGTATAAAGAGTTAAAGGAACTAGACCTGGGGAGGGGGCAATGACGCAAAAAGTGCAATTTCTGTTCAAGTAAAAACATGCCAGAGTCTTTTTTTGATTGAACAAGCAAAGCAATTTATTTACAAACATACACAGGAAATAAGAGTTGCCCACCAGTCTTTCCTCACAGAGTCTTCAGTGTGCATCTCATAGCGAACTCTTTGGGCTTGCAAACAGAAATAAGCTCAGCATTTTTTGACCTTTAATCACCATGCTTTTCTCATTACAATTTGTTTTGATATTGTGATCATGTTAACTCATATCGTCAATACTTGGAGCAGCATGAAATACCTTTTTCCTCAATACTCTGTGGTATTTTGTTAAACTAGTTTAAGCTAATATAAAGAAGCTGAAATCAACTTGAGATACATGCCGAATGAATGTAACTATACTATAATTAGTTAGATTATTTGTTGTTTCTAAAATGTTATTTCCAAATCAACAAACTCTGATTCGAGTGATATGAAAATGTTGGATCCCTCATTGATTCCAGTCAGGATCTTGTTAAGATGTTCCTCCGCCTCAGAGATCAGGAATCAGGACAAATAAAGTGTCCTTGAAGCCTGAAGTACACTTCAGCAGGACGGAGGATTACTTGCACAGGGTTTCAGTCCAGGTAAAGTAATTGACTCTCAATACCAGAGCACCACGTGGCCAATCTGCTGCTAATCCTGATCACTGTTTAATGGCATTTTTGCACTCATGAACACCTCTTCAAACCTGCCTTCCTGACCCCGTTTATAGCACTGTAAATGTGCTAGCAATATACTCTAACATAGAGCACAGGAAACTCAACACTGATAAAAGTGGGTCTTGTCTCATTAAGTCCATAGCAAGCATTTGATATAAAATGAATGGAATGGTAGAAAATGAAAGGAATGGTAGAAAATGAAAGGAATGGTAGAAAATCAATGGAATACTTCAGTGAAAATAGGAAGTCCCATCTTGTCTGCAAGGACCTGTATGCAAACAATCAATACTTTTCGTGCAGATAGAAAATGGTGAACGATCTATAAGAGATAAATAATCCAAAACGTTATTTCAAATGACTTGTGAGTGGTGTTTATGAACACAGCTTATTTTCCAGGGTTAGTTCAAGCTCATTAAAACGGCATCTTTTCCCTCTATGTCTCGCAATATTAAAAAAGTGCACTTTAAGATGATTACTTGCGAAAAACACGAGTCACTCTGAGGAAGTCCAGCCAAAACCAGCCGCTTAAAAAGGCTTTTGTTTAGATTTTATGCAAGTCAAGAGGCAACCAATCATACCGGAGTTTACATGGAGAAGATTAATGAAAAGAGATGACCAAATGTTACAATCATTGGTTGCTTTAACTGTCAACAATGTCCCCATCAGATTCAAACAAAAAAGGCTCTCTTAATCAACAAGAGAGCTTTGAAATATACAAAGTGAATATGAAGACGTTAAAACATGCAAACAACCTGTTTGCAGACGGTTGAACAATTTCTGTCAGAAGTCTGTGTGGTGAAGATGAATAAAGTCAAACAAGGGAGGAACGTTTTAGAAAATGTGTCCCTTTGGCTGATTTCAGATCTCCTGAGAGGGAGGAGAGTTGTCGGCTGCAGGTGAGTGACAGCCGGCTGAACCTCGGAGCCGTCAGACGTGGCAAAGAGAGAGGATGGAGGATGGGGGATGAATACCGTGGGAAGCAGAGGATCAGAAGGAGCTGGGCGTCCTCCTGATGGTTCACTAATGCTAGGAGGTCTGCAGCAGGCGTCTGTAGTGAGGCATGATCTCGTTTTCTGGCAGCTGCAGGTTGAACTCCAACGCCACCAGCACCGGGAACTCGAAGGCTATCAGCTCTCTGCGGTTCACTCTGAACCTCTCTTCCAGTTTCTGCCAGAGAAAAAGAGAGTTAAATAATAGATATACAATGCTGCATTTCTAATAGCTTCTTTACTACACCCACAGCATTTCATGAGGCCTGGCACGGTTGATGTTGCCTGTTTGGATGGTTGTCAGACTACAGTTGAAATTAATAGACAATACAAAGCTGGTTGTGTTGGCCATTCTAAAGCACTGACTTAAAGGGGAACACATCTGCCACTATAAAAGCTTTCTTTGAAAAAAGGGATTTTAAAGATGAAACACTGTTTACAATTCATAAGAAGTACTACTCAGCCTTTCTCATGTCTTTTGATGTTATGAAAGGAGCTTTCTAGAGTCAAAATAACTCAGTGTTTCAAGGTTAGCTCAGGCGCTCCCTGAGACTTGAGAAAAACTGTGATTTAAATTAGAGGTAGCCTAAAGGGAATTTCAGTTTTAACTTTTTTAAGCTTAGAGACACTTTTGTTTTTTCTTAGATGCAGGCCTGCTGTGGATTCTGGTTCACTGATTGGTTCAGCTACATTTCTGAGTAGATTCTCCGTTAAAGATAGGGATAGAGATCTTTTTAGAGAGGATGACGGTAGAGCAATAACAGAACAAAGGTTTCAGATCCAGCGAGTCTCGAGACAAAAAAGGCAGCCCTCCAATTATGGGATTTGAAAGACACCCTGTTAGCAACATCAGAACAAGCGTTTACGTAAAAACAGCACCGAACTGTGAAGGTCAGCTTTGATGGTATTAAAAGGTTATGTCAACATTTAATCCTCTTATTTCTGACTGAGACTGCAATACTTATTTTCGCCTGACTGTCATTTTTTTTCTCATAATTCTTTTAATGCATTATGGCTTAACTTTGTCCCATCTACTTGTCCTATCAACAAATAAAAAACCGTGTGACCTCTATAACAGTTTTTTGTGATCTGGACGCAATTTCTTCAGTCTTATATTTGTTGAAACCTGACAATTAAAAAGTCAGTCCCCGGTAATCTACACATATGCCCTTGTGGTATCTAGTCCATGTTTTGATTAATCAGCTGTTGAAACGTCTGCCACCAGTGGAAAAATCAATCGAAAAATCAATTTTCACTGCAGGCAATTTTCACCCTTTTTGACCTGTGATTTTGAAAATGAGAATTTGAGTGATGTGAATATTAAACCTGGTGCAACATAAGGAAAAATAAACATTAAAAAAATGATGAGTGTTAGCAAAGGAACTTACGTCTATCAGGTGCTTGACCTCGTGTTTCTTGAGATCGCCACCAATCTTGGCCGCCAGTAGGACACAAGCTCCAGCGCACAGTTTACGATTCTGCTTGTTCAGTTTGCCGTGAAGCACCAGTTTCTCAAAGTAGACGAAAGCCATGGCCACCGTTGGTTCCTCATAACCACATTCATCCTGGGCCAACTTTTTGATCTCCCTTTTCAAGCTGCCGGCAGGAGATAAAAGGGGGAGATGAAAAAAAAAAAAAGAAGCCAATCAATAAGTTGATACAGAAAGCGTAATTAGACAGTATGAAGTTGACTTTTGATTGTGTTCTGGTTTTATGTTTCAGTATTTGTAAGCAACTGTGACTGAAAGAATATTGCTTTTTTATGGTTATTTCATTTTTATTTTTTTTTAAAGAAGGGGCAGGTAAAATAAGATGTTTTTCTCCCTGCTCCTTTCCACCATGCACTATAAATAATGTTTAAAAAACAGTATAAGTGTACAGGTTTTGTTTTAAAACAACTGCTGTAGGTGCCATAATGCTACTTAGCCCAAGTTCATTATTTGTATTATTATCATTATTTGTTTACGTCACTTTTATTTGTTTGTTGAGCACTTCCGGTAATTGTCACATGGCTCTGGTTTGTCTATATAAGTCACCTGTTTCATGTCGAGTGCGGATGACAGAGGGTGAGCTTGTGCTGTCATTTTTTCTGTTGACCGTTTTGTCCACAGTTACTGTGTTTTGATTTTGTTTATTAAATATCCTAAAACTATCTTGCTTCAGTATGGACTTTCTCTTAGAAAAAGGAGTCACAGTTTATAGCCAAGCTTAGCCCCTCGGCGACCCAAACTGAACTGGAAATTGAGCCGCCGCAACTGCCATGTGTGGAATAAACAAATAAATAAAAAATGAATATAAAAGGAAAGGAAAAATAACAGGGCATTGTAGAGTTAAACACTTAATATGACACATGTTATGCATTTCTGTAGGTTTTTACCTCCTAATCTTGCTGAGGGTAAGCCTGATGTGGGGGAACTTCTCCTTGAAGGTTTCGTTCATGTCCTTCTTGAGGTCAGAGGGTTTGACGTATTCAATGACCGTAGTCTGAAAAGAAAAACCAGAGGTGGTGTCACGATGACCACGCGTTCAGCACTGGGCAGAGTGACTGGATCCTCACACACTAGTGTTGGATTCCACGGTCTCACAATAAGAGCTGGTGTTACCCGTGTCACTTTAAAGATACGTCTGCTGATACTCTATATCTTTCTTCACAAATCCAGTGAAAAGACCAGAGCCAACAACGAACCGATCCCACTAACACACATCCCACTGTGTGAATCCAAAGCCTGATATATCACGTCTTCTTCTGTGACATAGAGCGCCATTGTTGTCCAAACACACCAATAAACCACACTGTTGCCGTGGGTGACATAATCCTTCACTACAAGGAACATGGGCACTGTGGTGGATTTACCGTAAATACTACATGCGCTATCATGCTGCTGTAAACACTCATTAGCACACCAAATATGTATCAATCCGCCGTTGAAAACAGTCCTCAGCTAAATATTAATTTACTTCAGTGTCTCGGTGTTTAAGCAAATAACAGAGCTTTATGTGCGTCGAACTGAATGACGCACACAGTGAAGCGTTGAAAAATATTGTTGGTTTGGATCTTTTCAAAGTATTTGCAGAGGATAAGAATAACAAAGGTTATCGCCTGCCTCTTCCTGTGGGTACAAGACATGCTTGATTTCTGACCAAAGCTTTCCATGCCTTCATCAGGTTTCCAATAAACAAGCTTTGGTGCATGTTATAACATGAGTAGAAGGAGGGTGAGTCACATTTAAAGGAGTAGTTTGGGTATTTTAAGTGGATCTTAAGTGGCACAGTACTACAGTATATTCCCTACAGTAGATAGCGGGTGGTAGGACCACAGTGAGCGTATCAGAAAACTGATTTTGGTCAAAAAAGACAACCTAAACAAATCAATCACTTGAAGTGTACGCTTCATTAGAATTGTTTCACCACTTTACCTTTGAGACAACTCTTTTAGACACTGAATTATATATGCACTCTTTTTATAGCCACTAGACTACATTGAAATGGTAATTTGACATCGAAAGAACACTGGATTCGCTGGTAGTTTGTAACATCCAAATGATCCCCTTAAGACAGTAAAATGAGGGGCTGAGAGTTTATCTACAACTTAAATTAAAGATGTTCTAGAGGGGAAAAAAGCAAGAAGCCTAACTGCTAGATGTGCAGGATAATGCTGATAGAAATAAGACCCATGTCATAATCAGTCAACTACGCCATCAATCCGCTTAGTAATAACAACAATCACCAATTGAATTGCTAAGATCTAAGAACATTATCTAAACCACTTCATTTGGCTTGTTTTGTTTATTTATTTACTTACCCTCACACATACATGCATACTGAAAGCCATTTTTTCACATGCTATCACAAGTATTACTGCAATAACATTTAACTGTATTGCACTTATGTTTTGTAGATTTATATCATCTTTAAAACTCAAGTTTAAAAACTAAATATTGGATTGTTCGGTATGTGTTTCTTTAATAGCCAAACTTTGCTGTAGCAATGTCACTGAGTTTCCAGACTGAATACATTATCTTGTTGTAAAGCTAAAATGACTAGAAGTAAACTGTTTTGGTACCAGCTTAAAAAAATGTAAGACATTGCTTGCTTTCCTTGTCACAAATACAAAAGTGCTAATAACATAAAGATGACACTCAATATGTAGGCACCATATGAAGTGTGAAGAATCCACCCTGAACACCACGCTACTGATCATGAACCGTGATGGAGATGAAATGCCGATCGATGTTTGAAGCCGCGCGAAATGAAGCAAAGCTAAACACTGACTTTGCGTGACAGAAATAGTCCACTATGACCATGTTTTACACTTCTGTCAACACATAAAGACATATAATTATGCCATGTCTTACCCTGAGGGATAAGTTTACACTACACATATTACAAAGCGACAACAATGTTTTTATTTCAAATGACTTAAGTGAGGCTTTCCTTGCTTTCTAATAATATTCCAGGTGATACACATTTCCTGAATTGAACAAAGAGCCTAAAAACTATTGTTATGCATAGTTTGAAAGTGCAGTTAGATAGTCATGCTCTTTAAGTAGCCTGTGCTCAACCAGCAGAATACTGATGTAATGGTTCGGTTCCTTTAGTAAACACAAAAGCCATTGTTTGAGACGCTTGGTTTTGTAATTGGAAAAGGAGAAGAAAAAAACACATAGCCTGGCCTTGACTTAACATTTCAACTGTGTCAGTCCCTGTTGTGTACTCTGCCAGTCTGCGTAACAAAAACAGAGCTGAGGAAAGAATGAGGTGGGAGTCTAGTCAGGTTTTTTTTCCCTGTTTCCCATCCACAATAAAACATCCGTTCTTTTCCGGAAAAGAGCGCGAGTGATTAGGGCTCAGATACAATCGCTACACTCATTGTTGCTCCGGTGGCTACTTAATATCTGCTGCTCACTATAGTAGAGGATAAAGCATTTCCATTCATTCAGGACCCTCAAGGTGGGAGAGAGTTTGGCCCAGTGACCTTGCTGATTAAAACTGAAACGTTCTCCTGGCTTCTTCTCAAAAACAGCTGATATAATTGAGTTTTTTGGAGAAACTGTTGAGGCAGACACATATTTCCGGTGTGTTATCTTTCCTGCTAGTGGTGGGAAAACTGAGCACAAACTGTCCTTAATGACACAAATAACCATTGAAAAAAAACATTAACTGTGGGATGTCCTGGAACATTTCACCAACAACAGAGGTGGGTCTATTTCAGGGAATTATGTCCCGAACAAAAATAACCTTTCCATTCTGGTATCAAGAGGAAACGTTGCTGTAGTATTTGTTGTTCCTGGTGCTGGTGATGTGTTCTTAGACACAGTGAAGAGTGTTTTCTCACCATGTATGAGGGGAAGATGAGGACCCTCTTGTGTTTTCCACAAGGCCACTGCGGGTCATCTAGCAGGTTGGGATCGTACTCACGAAATTCCCCCAAATCATTCCCTGATACAGGCACAAACACAACAACAAAGGTAGAGGCAGATGTCAGTCAAATAAACACTGGATAATGGAGAAAAAAACCAACAGAGTGTGAGTCATACGCCACATTCATAATGGATGAGTCGAGTACTTGTTGGACTGACCTGTGTCTACGCTGCTCTGGTTGCTGTTGGCTCGGCCCAAACTGAGGCTTCTATGGCTGGCGTTACGAGACGCAGAGAAGGACGAGGTGGAGTCGATGGTGTTCCTACGACCACCCAGCGCATTAGTGGGATACAGGAACTGGGTGTAGGACACAGTCTGCAGACACAGGGGAAGTTATTATTTCCAAAGGCCTAAACATTATATACCCTTATTGTCCTCTTTTAATCTGACAGGTTATCTGAGGTGTTTCACTTTTTTTTCACAGCAGCATTTTGTCAAAGCAGGAGAAGCACAGGTTGTATGAATAATATTAAAGGTTGGCTGGACTGGAACACACTAGGGCAGGGGTGTCAAACTCAAATACACAGTGGGCCAAAATAAAAAAATCGGTACTAGTCAAGGGCCGGACTGGTTCAATGTTTATTGAATGAACTTATTGCACATATTAAACCTGGAACTAACAAAGCTTAAATTATTGCCTATAAAAAACATAAACATTACATAATCAGTTGCATTCATTTCTTATGGCTCTATCTGCAGCTTTTCCGGAGTCATTTCTTATGATTACATTTTTCCAACAGCTTCAAAAAAACTATTTCCCACAAAGAAAAACCAAACCTGCCCTGTTGTCTCAAGAACAAAAGTGCAGAAGGAAACATCCATTGAAACTCAGTGTGCTGCTCTGTGATGATAGTTCAAGCCAGATACTTGGCATCTCATCTTGGGTGCAAGTTCATCAATGTTTGGGGTCAGGCTCTGAGCTGAGGAAACCCTCAGGATGGAGTGAAGTTGTGCGTGCAATATACCGGCGGTCCAGATCTAATAGTAATTAGAAATTATCCTACGGGCCCAAATTAAATCCACTAAGGGCCTGATTTGGCCCCCGGGCCTCGAGTTTGACACATGTGCACTAGGGGATTCAGGCTAAGAAATGTCCAAATGCTCCTTTAAAAAAAGCCTAGTTCAAGAATGCTAAGAACTGTGTTGAGGTACTTTTAATGTGAATCACAAATAAATACTCTTGGTTTGAAAAGGCAATACTTGAAACAAACAGCTGTGTATTAAAAATGCAAATAATGTGGCTGAATACATTGCCTAGTATCATTCTAGGCTATATTTATAATTATTATAATTGGCCCTTTCTGATGTTTTTATTCCTTATGTGGATGTGCACAATATTCTCCTTTTAATAACATTTAGTGATTAATGATGATGTGTTTTCCATAAAGGAGCTAAAAAGCTATTTAGTTTTTCCATCACCTCTCAGTGCTGGCTCAGTTTAACTTTGTTTTTATCTAAAAAACTGAATGTGTCAAAACTGATGCTACTAATTATACTCTGAATTACATGCAGTTGTACTGTGCAGTAGAACATTAAACACCTTAACAATATGTTTTTTTACTGTGTGAATCAGATTTTCCTAAATGGTTACAGTAAGTTTAGCATATTTCAGCTCACCTTTCCATCCGCTCCTAGCTCCACTCCCTCCAGTCCAATCAGCATCTCCTTGGCGCCTCCTGACGGGTGCCGCTGACGCCCTCCTCCTTCCAGCTTCACATCCCTAATGAGCACAAGACCTTTAGATCTTTCACTGAACAAATAAACCTCACAGCTTCGTTTGACTCTCTTTCTCCACTTTCCTTAACCTTCTTACTAATGCCTGTTCTAGCCTACCTCCACATCTGTACCTCACAGATAAATCTGCGCTCATCAGCTGGACTAGGTTTTATAATTATGTCGTTTGGTGCATTTGTTTCTAGCAGTCTTCAGAGTCAGCTGCTGCCTCATTAATGCTTAATATGCAGTACTGCTGTAAGAAATCTGCAGGAGGTCAAAGGCTCTGCTGGAGTACAAAGCTGCTGGAGAATAAAGTGTGTCAGTGGAGCAAACAGTGGAGAGCCCACAACTGCACACATTTTATATGAGCTGAATATTTATTTGCATTTAATGTCTGCTGCTGAGAACATATAGACTGGGGTGAACTTGCAAAATTAAAACCATGGGGAAATAATAGTAAATATACTAATTAAAGTAGACATTGGTTATCGACATGATTTAACATGCTATGATATAACTTCACTTGATGATCACTTAAATTGCTGTCAAACTATATGGGCCTAAAAAGTCTCTTGGACTTGCTTTCACATCAAAGCGAAAAGACAAGTGCGGACAAATATTACCTTGCATTTCTGTAATATTAACTTAAGCCTTTTTATAACCTAATATTCTTACATGACATTTCAGAATGTGAGCAGACAGCAGATATTAAATCGTAACAGTCTTGTTTTTCTACTCCTCCCTTATCTTCCCTAGCTCAGTCATGCTTTCGGTTAAAATTGTCTGCCCAGATAAATAGAAGAAATGACAGAGAGGGACTTCACATGACTCCCCCAGTGTTTTGAGGACATGCGGGGCAAATCTGTTATAAATGAAAACAGTGTTATTTGGCAGACATGCACGTCAGGACACAATGTTGACAGATGCATCATAGACACAAAGATCCCCAGGCAGCAGACGTCCGACAGAAGAGTGGAGATTAAATAAAAAGGGGGAAACATACGAGACAGAAAGCTTTCTAGGAGAAGAGCTTTTCTAAGAGGCGATCCAGAAAATAATTGCTGAAAGTAATTAGAAATTAAAAGGAAATTACAAGAAAAGCCGACATTCATGGATAGGAATCACTGGCAAATACCTGAATGTTAGTAGTGTTATTATAATATATGCAAATTGTTAATAATGCCCTTCAACATTATTCTAAATCTAGGATAAAGCAAATTAAGCCTTAATATTAACAATACTGAAAGTATCTTGACCCTTGCTGGCCACTTTACTACTGAATGCTTTACAACTCAAATAAACAGTTTAATATTGGCTTGTAATAATATTCCACGGCAGTCTTGTCCAAGTTTCACACATAACACTACTTTAATGAGCATCAGTAGGTTATACTTTATTAATCCCTGTGAGGAATTTAGTCCTCTGCCTTTGACCCATCTAACTTTTTACCCAGTAAGCCAACTTTTCTATAATTCAATGCCAGGAGCATTACCTAACATGCATGTATTTTAGGGTCAGATAAACTGAAAAATATGAGGAAGCCCATGCCAGCACAGGGGGGAACATGCAGAGTCAGAAAAGCCACGGTGGACTCTAGCGGGGTTTGAACCCAGAACCTTATGGGTGTCAGGAGACAGTAACGCCCCATAAACAGACGACCAATCAAACAGCCTTAGTCTGCAAAGTTTCATGTTTTTCTTTCTTTAATGGAATAGTTCGAGATCTTGGAAAAGCATACCTATTTGCTTTCTTACTGACAATTGGATTAAAAGATTAATACTCACAAATCTCATAGCCATAGCCTAAGCATGTTAAATGCTAATATCTGTTAGCATATTTCAGCATTAAGACTTAAAACAGGGGGAAAACAGCTAGCCTGGCTTTTTTTGTTAAGAGCAGTAACTTAACTTAATCATTGTGAAAGAAGTCACTTCAACCCTCCATAATAATCCCCCCATTTACTTCCTCAAATAAAACCAAAGCTAAGCTAGTTATTGCCCCCTGCTTCCAGTATGCATGTTCAACTCAGCAAGCCATATCCTGGCAGTAGTCTCATATTTAACAGACAGATACAAGAATGTTAATCTTTTCCTCTAACCTTTGGCAAGAAAGCAAATGAGGGTTTCCCGAAATTTCATTCCTCTGTATTAAATTATTTAATGTTGGAACTGTAGGATAATTGTCTCCATGTTACGTCCCCAAAAGTAGGGCTGAACTGCAAAATTGGCAATTTTGTACATGAGGCAGAAGTTAAAGACAGAGAGACAGAAGGAAACAACTACATGCGATCAGCAATTTTGGGCCCAGTCGTCTCATAAAATGTTGTTTTGCAGTTACAACACTTTAACTGAGGCAGCAAAAGCCTAACTGTTAACTGTCGATTAACAGCAATGAGCAGCCAGATGTGTATATTGGATAACCCTGGAGGTTAATTAACCACCGACCTGGCACTGATTGGCTGGCTTTATATGGATAGAGCTTTCTGTGCTCTTCACTTAGCACCGGTGTGGAGCTTTTCTTTCTGTGCATTGTTTTCACTGGTGTTTATATTTCCGATGTCACTTTCACTTCCTCCCAAACACACCATTTCATGTGAACTGGAGGTCTAGGAGCCAAGGTCATACCAGAGCTATCCCCATGCAAGCCAGCCATAAAACACCTACAGTTAAGCGTATACGTTTTCTGGGTCAGCACTAATACATGTAAACTCTTAAACAAGGCAAAATGTGTTAATTAAAAATCAAGAAGCAACTGCATCTGCCAGCAAAACGGTAATAAGACCAACGAACACATGAAAAACGTTTAAGAGCTATAGTTTCTAAATATAAGAAGAACAGTAACCTGCAAAAGGTGAGTCTAAAGAGCAAAGCCAGCAGCGGTTTTAACAGACAAAAATGGGTTGATTGAACAAAAAGGGAAGAATGGCTTAACGCCACCAGAGCCATTATGGGAAAAAGCAATACAAGCATTAAGCACAGGGCAACAACATAGTCTAGATATAAAGGAAATTACGCCTTTGAAGCCCATTTCAGCCCACTGTTTATTTATTTATCAGACGTTAATGGCAAAATGCATCCACCAAAACCAACCCTTAGCCATGTATGCACCATTCAGAGGAGAGTACATCCACAGAAAAAGCGATGGGAGAAAAAAAAAAGGGAAAGAGGCGGCACAGGCCGGAGGAGGTTACAAAGTTCGGCATGCTGTAGGATACATACCCTGCTTGGCTACAATCTCGATATGGCAGGACAGAAAAAACACTATAGAAGGATCTTCTGCCACTGATTAGGACTATCCTATAAAAACAAAAATGTTAAAAAAAGCTGATCAATATCTATCTGACAAGATCCACAGATTAAAGTTGGAGCGAGTGTGCAGTAAAAATTAGAATGAAGAGAATGAGCTGCAAACGTCAGAGTGAGTGTGTGTTGGTTTGTAGAAATGTGGGACATGTAGTCAGTGGTTGAGGCAATCATGATGCATTTTTGTGTAAGATACCTTTAGTTAGCATATGCTATTTTTATATTAAACTGTGTTCTACTAGTGGAAACATTTATAAAGTATCGAGTCAGAGAATTTCAAGTAAGATATGTAAATTATTTGTTTTAATATCTGCAACTCACAGACACTATGAATCTTACAACTGGATATAAATAACATGCGTGTTTTACCATATCTCAGTTAATAAACAAATAAGTTCTTCTTAAAAGTTTGGAAAATACTGCACAAAATTACTCTACATCCGATCATTTAAACGGGAGGAACTTAGAAATATACACTGTTTTCTAAACAAGAGATACTGTTGTTAAAATGGTCTACACTACAAAAAAACAACAACGCGCTAGAACTACACTCACAAAACACTCTGAAAAAAGGCTAACCGAATTAGATTGAAAATCCAAAGAATGTGACAATGATGACATTGAACACTTTCCGTGTCTCCTGACCTCGATTAAACAACCATTTTTCCTTGGGTTACTATAAGCAAACCCAGTAACACACCGAAGCCATTTCATTTAGATTCAGAGATATATGTGCTTCGAGCTAATGTAACCTGCTGTGACACAATGATATGTGATTTATCTTGTGATTTCACAATTTTAACAGTGAATAAATGAAGTTTCAAATCTGAATATACTGTGTGAATGGACTTATTTATGAGTCAGAATGACATGAAGTGAATGGAGCTGGCCTGCTTGCCTACGATGTGGCTGTAATGTGAGAAACATCCAAACTGCAGTTCATTGACTGGGGCAGCCTGCCATTATCCACTGAGGACTTGTATTGACTAAACGGATAGCGTTGTTTGCCTTCATACCTTCCATTGCGTATATCATGTTGCCTCATGTTCTTTATGAAGTGGATCTTCTTAAAGCTCTTTGGTCGGGGTGAACCCGATAGGGTCCGGCATCTAAAATGTTAAACAAAAACAAAACATCAGGACCTCAAAACACAGAGACACTGTGCCAGTGACTGGGATATATTACAGTGAGGGCAGCAGTGGAAAAGGTAATGCTGTTTCTGTGCAGTTTATTACCTGCGAAGAGGAGCGTTCTCCTCAATGTCCTCTAGCGTTTCAAGCGAAGAGCGTTGGGAGATGAGTCTTCGTCTGGAAACAGACAGACAAAAGGGAAGGTTTAAAGTCAGAGGGATATGAAGAAACATCCTGACACCAAACACAGGACCAATTGTTCTAATGCAAAAAAACAGCTTTTAGAAAAAAAATACATTTGGCAAAGATAATGTTGATAAAACCTTATTGTGATCTTTTTTGACAGGCAAATGGACACTTGGAAATGGAAAGCAATTTCATTAGAAGGCACAACACTTAATCAAATTATTTTCCACAGCAAAGCAATAACAAAAAATGCAAGAATAGATCTCGAAAATCAAATACATTTTTCTAACACAATAAAGCCAGCCTAGCTTTTAGAATAAAACAGGGTATTAGCAGACACAAACACTCGAGGGAGCTTAAACCCAAATCTCCCTTTTACCTTTTTGTGTAAAGCAATGGAAAGTGGAAAAAGCCATCGTCCAGCACATTGCACAACTAGTGAACATTTGATATGACGCACTTTTTTAGTTAAAAAGTTACAGCCACATTTCGGTTAGCATCCAATCATTGTTGAGGTTCTTCACAAGGACATGGAAAACTAAATATCTGTGGTCACTGAGGGCCTTTGAGCAAAAGGTCAAACCAAGTAGTTAAATTATGATCTGCCTCGAATTTGTTCTGTTATTATTTTACAAAAGCCAGTGTTGGACGGTTTAGTTGGGACCATCCATCGACAGCACTGTGTGCCTGTGTGGTCAATCATCACTCCTCAATCTTACGTTCATCACAGAGGTTTTTCCAGTGTCAGAGCTGCTAAGAGGATAAGGCTCGGCCAGCACTTTGTGTAACACATGTTGTCACACATGGCCTTTATTTCACACTAGTTTCATGACTTATTCTGCAGAAACACTTTTATATGATCTGCTGCCAAAAACAAACCCACATGTGACAGCTAAGTATGCCTGAGCTGTCCCAAAATTAGGTTGTAATTTTATATTCAGCCCCAGAATAACAACATAATCCAACCCATTAATCAGCTTACAAAGTGGCCACATTTAAAGGCAATGGAAATTAACAAATTAATGGTCAAATAACTAAATTGTGACATATTTTCCCAACGGGAGATCTGTCAATAATAAATAAATTTGCAGCAGGGTTGGAAAAGCCAAGTAAGAATCTAAACATATGTCTGTTCACAACATGCATACTGTAGATCATCTTGGTGTACGCAATCCTTTTCATAATTTACAAGTGTTGTAATGCTATGGCCATGAACGATGACAGAAGCTGATGACACTTGCCTTCCTCTTTAAAGAGCATCTCAGCCAAAGGAGGAGAAAGACAGCGGAGTGTTAAGCAGAGTGGCTGGTTAATAAACAACAGATCATGAGGACAGATTAACAAAAGATGACTCCAGCCTTGAGGATCTCCCAGGGTTTAAACCAACACAAGCTAAGTGAACAGTGTATGCTGGAGGAGAGGGGCTGAGATAAGTGTTTACATGACGAAACATACCGAGCAGACGAGTAACCGGGAGCCATTATACTGGCTAACCTTTTGTATTATGACCCCTATAATCATAAACTGGAAGGGGGAACATTAAGCTCTGATAAAAGGATTGGACAGAACATGTTATAGTCCACTTGAATATAATGAAGGGGTTGTGACCTTTGCTTGAAAGTCACATAAGTGCTTTCATGTGATTTATGGTCTTAGATCTCCCTTCTGATGGAGCAGATAGCTTGGCTGGATAAAGATCTGACGACACAGATAGTCTAATGGCGCATTTCCACCACTGGGCCTCGCTCGGTATGGCTAGGCCTCGTTAGGCCTTGTTAGGACTAGCTCACTTTATGCTGCATTTCCATTACAGTTTAGTAGCTGGAGCAGTATCTATAGTAACGCAGTGTAGGTGGAACCGTGACGTCATCTTCAATGAGAACCACAGAAAAACAACATCAGCCGTTAGCTGTTAGCCCTCAGAGCTCACAGCTCCTCATATCTGTTCAGAAACTAGACAAAAGTTAAACAAGTACAAACCACAGACTGTCTGTGTCATGGCGAATACAGTCGATGGTTTATTTATGTCTGTATAGGGCGTTGTTGTGAGTGTGGACGGTCGGAGCATATTCTGCGTTAGCTTAGCCGATCGTCATTTAGACAACACGCATTTTAAAAGGTTTTTCGCCTGCCGTCTGTCTGCAGACTTGTCAAAGCATTAATTCATGGTTTTTACTAACCGGT